ATATAAATTATTATTACTGATACTGCAAAAAAGCTTTGATGATTATTTATTTTAATTTCATTAATTTTTTGTTAAAGTTATATTTAACTTTGTTATTTTATTATTTGATATTTAAATTATAAATTTTAATAGTTTAATAATCTAACTTTTCATATAAATATAATTATTTATCATATTTCAGAAATATCATCATAGATAATAACTCTAAAAATAGTGACAATATAAAATTTTTAAAGTTTTTTAGAAATTATAGAAATTATAAAAATCATGTAAATTATAAGAATTTCCAATTATAACAACAGAATTTTGGTGTTCTATTTACTAATAGTTTATTATAATTTCAATGAAATTTAGATAACTATTAAGAAATTTCAGCAAGCATTCTTAGTATTATCCTAATTCATCATATAAATATTGTTGCACACTAAATTTTTCACATGTTAAATAATGAATCAAACTATAATGATATATCTATATTTATTATGACTTTGTATTACTTTAAGGTTACACATTTCTATATTATCGTCCTGAAGAATTGAAGCTAATTTATAATCCTATATCAAAAATTGTAAGATGTAGTAAAAGTACTATGATTTATTGAACCAAAAAGTGAAAGAAAATCAAAGACTTGTGTGATAAAAAAAAATAGATCAAAAATAATATACAATTATTAAACAAGACAAGAAAATTGTAAAGTTAACAGAAAGCAAAAATGACTTGGTAAGTTTCCAAATTCAACAAAAAACAAACAAATAATAGTGTATGTATTATTAAATGGTGTCTTGGCGAGGCTGGAGGAAAATATAACAATCCTACTTTCAAATCACTTCTAATTGACAATTATCAGATTAAATGACTATTGTGGACAAAAAGTATATAAATTTCGATCGGGAAAAAGTCATTTTTACCGATGAGTCTATCTTTTATCTATTTCAATCAATGAGAAAAGTATGAAGATTATCTGGAAGTAGAACAGTATTTCGTACAGTGAAGCATCCACTTAAGATAAATGTATGGGGGGAATCTTGACACTAATTTATGTGCAATATTTATGAGAGAGGCCTTTTATCTTCCTCTAACAAACTCCTCAGGATGGATAATTTAGTTGGATCTTGCAAGAAGACAACGATCCAACACACTGATCAGAAAAACGAACATGGTATTAAACTTCGCTGATCAACAATGTCGCCGGATCAAAATCACATTGAAAATGTTTGGCGAATCATGAAGATTAATATTGGAAAAAATCTGAACAATTAAGGGTTTGAAGGGAGAATTGGCGAAAGAATGGAGGTGTCTTAATTTTATCAAAAGTATGGTGTTTCGAAACCCAACTACGATGTTTATTGCTGTTACTCATCATTATTACTTACATTTTCCTCATCTTCCTGTAATTGGTTGTCATAATTCTCTTCAAAAATTTCATTATAAGTAGGGGACAAAAGTAACTGTACCACTGTAAATCATCGTAAAAATAACTTTCAATAAATTTTTATATTTCGAAAGTACATTGTTAATCCTGATTCTAATACATTGTATAGTCCCAATTGGTCTTTATTAAGGCTGAAACTCATCGTTCCATACTTTTAACCAAATTTCCGGTACAAAAAATCAAAGTGAAATTATTGCAAAACTCTTATTTTACAAGCTTTGAAAGATTACTGAATTTGCCAAAATATCATTCGTGAACTTTGAACGTAAAATTGACCATAATGTCAAGTTTTAACACACTAAATGTTAATAATTAAAAATATTTGCTAGATTCTACTCTACGTATATACAAAGTTTCATAAAATTTTGCACATTGCTTTGCGAGATATTATGCGAAACGTAAATAAATCGCTCAAATGCGTTGGAGTGATTTATTTACGTTTCGCATAATATCTCGTGAAGCAACGTGCGAAACTTTGTATATATGTAGAATATAATCTAATAAATATTTTTAATTATTAGCATTTAGTGCGTTAAACGTCGATTTTACGTTCAAATTTCACGAATGATATTTTATATCAAATATCGCAATTACCGAAATTACCGTTGGTAATTAGAGTAATTTTTGTACACCAACTAGCCGGCTGAGTCAATTATCATGTGAATTTTTTTTGATGTGCTTACATCAATCACTGTATTACATCACAGCATTACATTACAGCATTACATGTATTATATACCAAATTTAGAAATCATTTGAAAGATCTCGAAAAAGTCAGGTCGGCTGACTCAGCGAGTCGACTCTGCGCCGGCGCATTTAAGTCGGCTAGGATCACTAAATTAGAAGATGTCGGTAATTACCAAGAAATCAGTAATTTTACTCATCAATTTATATAAAAAATTTATTTTGAGTCTGATACAAACTACCTATTCAATATAGTTCAAGTAATCTATACTCAACAATTTGTTTCAATTTTTAAAATCTTTAAACTCAATGTAGAGACAAAATTTTCAAAATTTGACCGGTAACTTTGTTCTTTATGATAAGCTCTATAAAGTTACCGGTCAAATTTTGAAAATTTTGTCTCTACATTGAGTTTAAAGATTTTAAAAATTGAAACATAATTTTGAGTATAGATTACTTATTTTATCTTGTATCCGGGTCTAAATCAAGAGGGGCATACTATCGCTGCAAGGCGAATTACTGTATGGTTGTTATCAGTTTAAAAACACCTTGGTTCGGTTTAACTATAGTTTATTACATGCAGTTTAATATCTAATGTCACATTTGTTGTTATTATACTAACGCTAATCTCGATTATTATTGATATCGTTATATACTAATTAATCTATAAAAAAGTAACAATTGTTAAGTTCGTAATTGTTAAGTTTGTAATTGTATGCATATGTATTTATTAAATAATCTTCAAACTGCAGTTTAAACTATGGTTTAGCAATTAAAAACCAATGAATTTTTTTATATGTCCTGATTATTCAAATGAATTTGTATTCATTTTATAACATATGATTTAATTTGAATATCCATAATTATCTTGATTTATAAAACCATTATTAATTAATAATATTGTTGCGTAAATAATTTGATTATTACCTATTTAGATTTTATCAACAATCGCAATATTACGTTATGCATTTGTGTAAGGTACATATAAGCGTTTAGATAATCCAATCCGGAGAACATAATGATAATCTGCTGCTCTTTAATTTTCGTTAATTACACCGTCACTCTCTTGGTAAAATCCCAAATTGTATTTACTTTTTTTATAACAAACAAGCTCCACTATATCGAGAGATCACTATAAAAGCCTCCACTATAAAGAACTTTATTGTGTAATTCTCTTTTCTCTGATAATTATTTAACTTCTCTGAATTTTCCCGATTTAGTTACAAGATCATATGACAGGTGGTGTCGTATGCTCGTCTTTAAATAAATAACACAAAAAAGAGTTAAGCATCATTTGGTTGAATGAAAAGAGTCCTAAATAATAAAGTAGTAACCTTTATTAAATTAGACCATTATGAAGATTACTATTATTATGTTTACTATTAACGAATTTCTCGATTCAGAAAGCACGCTAATAAATCGTGCGAGTCAAAGAGAGAGATAAAGAACGAACGAGAAATTAATGGTGGCGATGTCAAGAAAAATGACATTATATTATTTATCTTCATTTCATTGAAATATAACAAACGGATTATCCGAATTAAGGGATGTATTATTATTATTGTCGCTATTACAGTGCACGACATCTATAATCAGCAAAAAATAAATACGATTTTTATACAAAGAATTAAGATAATTAGGAAATATTTTTTAATGTAAAAATAAAGTTACGAAAACCTTTTGTTAATTGGTTAAGTTTTGATGAAGCTGAATCCTTTAAAGTTGGTTATTATTATTAATAAAGATAACAATTTGGCCAGTTTCAAATCTAGTCATGTGATAAGAGCAGACACTTCTGATTAGTTACTACAGTCAAAGTTTGAAAGCAATATGTATACTTTTACTATTAATAAAAAAGAATTATGGTTAGACTAATTATTATGTATAAGATCTACAATAAAAAAATTGTCCACATGGCGCAGTATGTCACTTATTATTTTGAGCAGAACACGAGACTATAGAACATTATCACGGACTCATGATGTTTAGTTCCATTGAACAATGAAATTGGCAAATATGGCACTCAAGACCAATACTATGACATGAAAATCGAGAAATTCTACCCTCTCGTTATTGAAGAGTGAGTGTTCATGTATGCACACACGGCATATTATTTTTCGATCGATTCAATCATCATTTAGTAAGCCGACGTGCGTGCGACTGTATACCTTTGTGTTATGTGAGGAAGCGAATGTGAATATAGCATGATACTTTTTCTCTTTTCTAAGGGGCTGATTATTGTTGTTGTACATGAGCAACTTTCAAGTTATTGCGAATCGTCGTCGAGATCGAGAGAATTTGGGGTGGTGTGACATTTAATTGATTATCATTAAAATACATAGTTACTGATATCGCGAGATTCATTATAAGCTCTTTTTATAATAAATCTATTGATATGGATCTAGAACACTATTTACAGTGCCGGTCATAAGTAACCTACCCCCCTCTAACTGTCCAAAAATAAAGTAAATGGCATATTTTTTTTATTTTAAAGTACATTATTAATCTTGATCCTGGTATATAATATAGTCTCTATTGGTTATAGCAAATTTATTGGATAATTCCATTCTATTATTGACATTATGAAAATTTTGCAATTTAGTCACTTAGGACCGGCACTGTATTATTCATTACAGAGCGAATTCGTATACCGGTATAAGAGGGAAAGATCGAGAGTGACTATGTAGTAATCTCGTATACCGGTATAAAGGGAAAGGAAGCTCGAGAGTGAGAAAGAGCGAGTACAATATGCGAAATATGTATATATTTTACTCTCTCCCAAGCATTTATGATCCAATAACTTTATAATCGCTTTGATCAAATGCTGGCTTGTGCAACTCCTACAAAAATTTTGTGCAATCATGAATTATTTATATAATAAATGATGCCATATGACGAAGTGGATTATTAATTGTTTTTTAATTTCTATCCAGAAAACCAATTCTTTATTTATAGTATAACGATGATACACTTATTGATCACGATCTTGAACCTCTCTTGTATTTTAAAACTACTGATACTATAGGTCCGACGTTTAATTATACAGGGTTGACAACTTTTGTCCAAGGGAATAAAAAAGACCCGTTAGACATAATATGCCCAACAGCTTTTTGTCCTACTGGACTATTATATTAGTAAATTAATCCAGTCTTGATTTAACGAAGGTGGATTTTGCCATATGATATTATTGAATCGCGATGCTATTTCCTATCGATATACTGATATGTATTTTATATTTTGATATATGAACAGCGATATCGGATTTTTAGCAATTTATGATAGTGCAATGACGAGATACAGTCAGACCTCTATATACCGATGTACCCGGTCTGGTTGTTTCTGATTTACAGTCAGACCTTGGGGCAGATTGTAAAGAGGTTGTGACTATATGGAGGTCAAATTTCTTATGTTTCATAATAACGATAAGTCGGGAACTGAAAAAATGTGACTATATCGATTTTGTGATCATATGGGAGGTGACTATATTGAGGTCTAGCTGTAATGAAACATCAATATTGTCTAAAATTGACATATTGGACAGTCCGAGAAACAAGCCAATAAGAATGCGTAAATTTTGATCAACCAGAAAAAACAAATCCGCAGCACGAACGAAAAAATGTAAAATATGGAAACGTATGCTTAATCTATCTTGGAGCACTAATTAAAAATACTCACTCTAACCTTAATTCTAATCCTAACGTTAAAATCAACCTTTAATTGTGATAAACACGTATCACATGACCCGTAACGCTTTAGTGTATTCCCATATATATTTAGAAGTTGATACGCATTATTAGCCAATGAAAACAAATATTGGTTTTCATTACACAGTTACACGCTAATTTTAAATTTCTATTGTGATACAACAAAGAGGGACTTTTATCAAATCCAGCGAAAACTATTTTTATTTCTATCACAAAAACACCATTACCGCCTACAGTACCACCGGTATTATTCAAAACTACTTGATTTTGCCATTGAATAGTCCTGAAAAATTCTCATTGTCTGAACTTAATACAGAAACTTAACAGAATACTGTGGACACTTTTTAAAATTAAATAGAATTTATATATTTAAAAATTTATATACTATATGATATTGAGATCTTTGTGATTTAAAAGGATCAAAAAAAACACAGAATCTATGTAGTAGTTCTTGAAAAATGTTGATTTTTATAAATTATATTTGTTATATTTTTTGATCAAACTGAAGATTTTTTTGATAAATTTTAATATTTTTCAACATTTATTTATAATGTAACTTTGAAATAAAGTATAAACAAATTATTAATTATAAGTTATAAATATTATATAAAAAATTCTATATTTTTGTATACAATTTTGAGAAATTATATTAATAGTAATTTTTTACTATTAAAAAAAGCATTTTCAATTTGATCAAAATTACAAAGATCTCAAGAATTCAAAAATATCATATAGTATATAAATTTTTAAATATATATTTCTATTTAATTCTAAAGTGTTCGCAATATTCTGCTAGGACTTTATATATGACGTTTTTGGAAACGGATTTTAGCAATCATCGAACATCAAGTAACACTGATCAGTTGGTTATGTGAAACAAGTGTTACAATTTAGAAATCGGACGACAAAGATGATAATAGTTTGGTTCTGGTTGTATAGCACAGTGCATGTCATAGATAATGAGAATTTTATTTTATTGTGGTTTAAACAAGAAAGATGCATCTTTTTAGTTAGAAAAAGTAATTTATTAGTATAAAGGAAGATGACATTTGGTCTTTTTCATTTTGTAATTAGTGGAATGTTTCATGCATGTGTGTGAAAGCAGCGAAACAACAGTTCTTCATTTACTATTTCTTTTTCTATTCGAGAGCTGTGTGTTGAAAGAGAATTTTTGGACCGGCCCGTACTGGACCGATACATCATCAAACATTTATTATATATTGTACGTGTATATATATATATATATATATATATATATATATATATATATACTCACACAAATACAAAACCAAATTTAATTTATATAATAGCTGAGAGATAACTGTGTTTTATTTTGTGTCTAATCATTGGTTTCAGAAAATACGCGTAACTGACACGCGTTTTTTTTATTGTAAGAACATAAAAAAGCATTTACATTACTCGATTAATAAAAGTATTTTCATTGAGAAATTCAAATTTCCTTCTATCGCCTGGATTATGAGATCATTAGGTAAGCAAGAATTAATTTGTTTATAAGAGAACACTTAGAGTTAGGCTTGTTATGTGAATATACATGGAAATCACATGCTTAATTATCTAATTGGATTCAAAATGTTTACATCAATAAGATGCAGTATTAAATCCAAGTACGGTATATAGAGATTCGGTACCAGGATGATCCAAATATGTGATGATACAATTCAGTATGGTATACCCTTGAGAAGGGTTAGACATGAATTCAGAATATAGAGTATAGTTCATACTGTACCGAATCTGTGTCTACTCTGTTAAAATAATATAATATCAGGATTCTTTGGTATATTTTCTGTCACTCTTTAATTATAAATGTATTTGTGTCATAAACAGATAAACATGCCCGAATGATTCATTTCTCTCCCCTAATTTGCTTGATTCAGTTATTGATATTCTGATATAAATTTCAAAGTAAAAAATTAATATCTATTTCGGAATCTACGCTTTATTGATCATTATGATAGTAGTTGGCCGACCAATCTGGCTATCACGGGACCAAAAAATTTAAACTTTTTGATTGGTCGATAACTATTTACACGGAAATTAATTTGTTCCAAAATAAAACAATGCAAGTCATAAGGGAATTTATGTACGGTAGATCATCTTTAAAGAAATCTTTGTGTCACGTTCGTGAGAATAGATTTTAACTTGATGTGATGTTAGAAAATTATGCTGAATTTGTTCCACTGAAATTTTATCACTTTTATGACACGTACCATACATAATGTACTTTTTAGAACCATTTGGTAACATACTTAGTCTAGATGACGTCATTTCATTGATCTGCATGTTCTAGACCTGTATCTAGAACTATTCTGAGGTGCGGATACGAGGAAAACAACATTGATGCTTTTAATAGTTACGAGCTCGCAAATAGTATTAACAGTCGTGGCAGTAATAATAAAAACGTGTAGATAAATGCATCGAAATCCACGTATGCAAGACAAGAATTTATGGTAACAATTTAGAGTGCACAAAGCTTACTGTCGAAATCAACGCCAGTTATGAATTTAAAATACCAATACAATTCACTCTCGTTATAGTGAAGACACCGGGACAAGAAAAAAAGCTTCACTGTAGCTTATATCGAGAATAATATATAACTTCACTATATCAAGCGAAAGTTTAATAGTAATCCTGAGAAAATTCTTTATTATAACGAGAGATTCACTATATCGAGAGTTCACTATATCGAGAATGGGTTGTATAATAATTATAATTAATAATAATGAAAGCAATAACAACTACAATAACAATAATACAGTTATAGTGATTTTTTTTCAATATATCAATATATCAATATAGCTATATGTATTTTTTGGGAATAATAATTTTTTTTATTAAATGCGAATTTCGCGTATTTATAAATAAGATTTGTAAATAATGTCGTATTTCGTTTTTTTCCTTGAGAAGCAATCTGGGTAATTCATCTTAGGATAAAATAATAATAATCGGTAAAATGAAATGATACCTGCAGAAAAATTAATGCGGAAAATTTCTTTTATTTAATTTTTTTGGAATTTATCAGCTGTCGATTTACTGCATACATGTGTATTTGAATATATTTATTTAAATCTAATATATTCGGAAAAGCAAAAAAAATACATGAAACTTTCTCGTGGCGAATTTAAGTTTTCTTTGTCATATTAAAAAATCATTTGTCATAATCTAAATTTCTCACCCCTCACACACAACTTCTCTAAGGTTTATTATATAGGCTTTATGCTTTATCCAATTCCAAGAATCTTTATTTTTGCATCACATTTCGAGTTTTTTTTTTGCTTACAAGATTCTTACATACACACATGATTGTTGTCTTTTGTATGCATTATAGCGGCGGATAATGATTGATTAGTGATCAGTATTGACGTTGATTTTCCCTTTTTAAGCTCACGATTTCTAAGTTCCCCATTCTTGAAGCTTTTTCTAATAATTTCAGGATCCGAGAACTCATACACGTAAACAGGATTTCAAATTTGCTATATATATTACTTCCGATTAGAAAAGATATATATACGTGGATTACGAGGGATTTTCCGTAATGTCGATTGTTTATTGTGATCTAATATTAGTAGTAGTTCAAGAACGAACATTTATGTTATTACTATTGTTTCGACTTACTTTTAAATATACATTATAGAAAACAACAATTTTCTCAGACTACCATTATTGTTGTTATTGTTATCGACAATTTCATCATTGCAGAACTGTCAATGTATTACGTTAGTTGGTTAATTGCTTATGTCATTGATTATATAATAAATGCATTATAAAAAAAATTGTAGTACCAAGATTACGGTAAGATTGTAGTGCATATTATTATGAATATTTACTGTATATGCCGAAATTGCGCATGCTATTTATTCGGTCATGTTTATAATAAAATCGCAATATAACGACACCCGATTATTAGTAGACATAAAAACCCACTCGATATAATGTATAACGACAATTTGAGATAGAACCAAGCGGTCGTTATACCCGAGACACACTTGTATAACCTAATAGTAGAACTTGCATTTAATGGCAAACGGCAAGTTTAGATTAACGAATAGAATATAGTCGGAAAATAAAAAGAAAGAGAATAAAACTCGTAATAAATATTAAATTTTTTTTTCATTAAATTTTATCGCTAGTGTTTTATCGAGATCTCATAGTAATTCACGGTATGTTACGTTATAAGTTCATGATTGAGAAAAATTCCTATAACAAAAAACTACCACAGTCTTTAGGTCAATCGAGATATTGTAGTGGTTAAAGTAGAAAGTGGCAGTATATAACTGGTTGAATCGGTGAATTTATAGTGCAACATCATTTGTTGCTTTCTCGCCACCCGAATAACGCAATTAATTAATAATTAATTAATAATAAATCAATCATTTCTTAAGACGTTGATTGTTTGGAGCTCAATAAAATAAAGGCTCTTCACAACAAAATACACGCATCACTTTCATTCACAGCAAGTAGCCTGAATTTTACGTAATCAATCAATATAATTTCATAAGCTTGATGAAAGAACACTCACTCGGATAAACGTAGTTTCTTTCATCAATATCATTTGATTGTATACATCGATATATATATATATATATATATATATATGACAATATATTAATTATTGAGCAATTTCGATTGACTTTAATATTATCACATAAAAAATAAATAGTTGAATATAAACAAACAATAAAGTATACAGTGAAATCATTTATTAGTGTCATTTCACCCCTTTGGCATCGACATTATTATATAAAAACGTCGATATTCTATCCTCTCAATTTCCTAGCACTTTTTCTTCAAAAGATTTAAAATCCCACGTTTTTATTTTTCACAAAAAGAATTTAGATAACAGGCATTTTTTTTCTTGTGTTAGAAACAAACATTGAAAATTAGATATTTGTTTACCTGTGTCAACATATTTAATAACTTAAATCGTATAAATAATATTTTATGTGTGTCGCGCACAAAATATATATCGATTTTTTCATTATATAGGACGTCAAAAAAAAAAAAAAGAGGCGATTGCTTTTATTAAATATTCTTGATAAAGAATTCATTAGGTAATTATATTTTTTCATTCATTCGAGAGAGAAAAATTGGCATAAATCCAAAAAGCGCGTTTTCGTTGTCCAAGAAATGTTACATTAATTAATACAAATAAAAATCATATCGCAGTACTCCTCATCTCTGTACGAGTTTGGTTTTCGATATCTGTGGCCTTTTTTCTGATAGTCTCACCGATTATTTATGCTTACCTCATCATCAAATAACTAATTCTAACATACATAATTTTATTCAACACGCCCCACCCCACGAAAATATATAAATACAATTCTTAGAATTATTCCGATAACTATAAATACAGAACCTTATTATTCGTTTTTTTTTTATTACGCAATTTTTGATATATTCCAAAACGATAACGCCGCCGAGACGACAACAACTATTATTTCTATTAATTATATATAGTACTAATATTTATATCTAGTAACTATACCAATAACAACGACAATAATCACATTCCTGTGTCTGGTGTCGCACAATAGGAAAATATCTTGATTTGCCAAAAGTTTTTCTATCCAAAACGCGCTTCGTCTTTCTTTTTACCCTATTCATAATTATCTAAATATTTTTCAAACTGTCGCGCGTCAATTCTTGTTTTACACATTTTCGTCATTTTCTTATACGACACTCGATGAATATTCGTGATTTACTGAATCATGAATCAGATGATGACGAACGAGAGGAACAACAGCAGCAGCAGCAGCAACACCGGAGTCAGATTCAGAATCATCAGGAGCAAATACATCATCGGAAGCTATCAAATCCTAATGATCAAACAGAAAGTCATTATCAGCACCAGCATATAAATTCTTCCATACATTCACATAATCAACAACAACAACAACAACGACAACAACGACGACAACAACGACAACAACAACAACAGCTGCAGCTGCAGCAGCAGCAGCAACAACAACAACAACAGCAGCAGCAGCAACAACAACAACAGCAACAACAGCTGCAGCAGCAGCAGCAGCAGCAACAACAACAGCAACAACATCATCATCATCATCATCCTCACCATCCTCATCATCATTACCAGCAACAATCACAAAATTCATCATCATCATCATTAACAGAAGAAAGAGAATTGCAAGAAGCAGCAAAAAGAATACTACGATTGTTCACTTGCCCTGTTTGCAATCGATTATTCACTGATCCGGTCACAATGTCATGTGGAAATACATTTTGTCGGGATTGTTTCGAGTATCAATCGTATGTATCAATGAGCACTGGAATTAAAAAATGTCCAGATAACCATTGTGGACGTCGACATTCACCACAAGAGATACGAGCAGATGTCACAGTGTCAAAACTTACTGAATTATGCAGAACTCAATTATTACCATTACATCAACAACATCAATTAATACTACAACAGTCACAACATCATCGTTATCATAATCAGCGACGATTAGATGACACAGACGACGAAGAATTACAAATTCAGTTATTACATCAGCAACCGCAACATCATCAATTACTACAATTTCAACAAAATCATAATTACATTAGTTCACATTTTGTTAATGATGATGATGAAAGAGATTTTATCCATCTTGAAAGACATTTTGAAAATGAAGCATCGGATGATGATGAAATTGATCCTTTTGCTAATTCCAGCAACTATAACAACAATAACAATAACAATAACAGTGACAACAAAAGCATCAATACAGATTCAACGACGACAGCACCAACAACAGCATTAATATCACTGAATCTGATTGATCTGAAAAAATCAATGTTATCAGAATTAGATTGTCAGGTTTGCTATTCTCTACTTATCGATCCAATCACAACACCTTGTGGACATTCATTCTGTAAGCCTTGCTTGACGAGATCACTTGATCATAATGACAAATGTCCAATTTGTAGGCATCAACTACGTATCCCTTACACTTTTTTAACCAACCATCCGACAAACAAAACAATAACATTAGTCCTGGAATCATTATATCTTAATCTATACACGGAAAGACGTCTAATTTCTGAACATGAATTTTATGACACGATGGAAGATACTCCGATATTCGTGAGTTACTTAGTCTTCCCAAAAATGCCTTGTTTCTTGCATGTATTTGAACCGAAATATCGATTAATGTTAAGAAGATGTTTGGATTCACGTCAGCGTCATTTTGGAATGGTCTTGCCTGCAAGGAATGGACAAGAAGGATATAGCGAATATGGCACAATTCTGGAAATTAAATCAGCTGAATTTCTCGAGGATGGTAGATCTTTAGTCGAGACAATAGGGTCATATAGATTCCGAGTATTGGAACGAAATCAAAAAGATGGATATCACGTGGGAAAGACAGAAAGGATTGATGATGTTGATCTTGAAGAAGAGGAGGAGCTTGAAAGACGTGATTTAGAAGCCGCAGCAATCAATAATGCAAATACTGCAAACCCACCAATGGATGAACAACCAACCGCGAAATTGATAAGTTTAGCACGTGAGTTCATTGAGGATCTAAGAAATGGTGGAGCTCCTTGGCTACTACAACGTTTGAATTCCACTTATGGGGAGATGCCAGATGATCCGAGTGATTTTACTTTTTGGGTCGCTAGCGTAATCCCCATCGATGAATACGATAAATATCGATTATTGGAATTAAGATCTGTACGCGAACGTCTAAAGCTTATTATTTTATGGATTACACAACTTAAAGACCAGTGGTGGTTTGCACGTGGATGCTGTGTTTTATAGTTATTTAATTTGGCAAAAAACATTACGTCACGCGTCATAATCAATTTAATTATGCAAAATTTGCCATTTGATATTTTTCATGAAACAAAAATTATGACGACCAAAACAAACAAGTTAGAGTTAGAAAAAGCAGATGTATATAAATACAAAATAAATTATTTGTACTTTTAGTTTACACATTTATATGTTGAATTATATATATAACCTTTTTCTTCCCTTTATATAATAACGATAATAGTTATTCCATTTATTTAGGGTAGAGACATTTATCAGGTGATTTCTGGTTCATAGTAAGGCTCCCCCAAAAAATCACCTGATAAATGTCTACCCTTATAAGAAAATGGTTTTTTCACATGTCGTTTTTCAAACACCCAATTATCAACCTCAAGACCAATTACACCTTTAAATAATAGTTATGATCTTCAAAAAAAAATTACGTTAAATCTTCCTATAAGAAACCACTAGTATAATAATTTCTCTCCCCCTCCCCCTCTCCCTTCTTAAATTAAATTGTTAATACTTATAAGCAAAAAAAATATTGAAATAGAAATAGTTTCTAGAAAAAACGATTGGTCTTGTGGCTAATGTTTATTGTTTGAATTCGCATCAAAAATTTTTCTTTGTAGATCACAAAATCCTATCTCTATATAAACTACCCCAAAACACCTCGGTGAGTGGGTAATTAGCGTTTGTTCAATAAAATATATCTAAATATCATGTAAAAATCTATTACAGTCAAACCTCGTCACTAACTGAAACCTCGATAAACCGAATTTACTAAATAAACCGAATTTTCAAAATTTTTACTAATACAGTGCAGGACACTTAAAGACGCCAATAAAATTAGTCATCTTTATACAAAGATTATACAAAAAAAAGGAGGCCGTTATTTTGTAGTAAATAGATCCTTGACTAATTTTATTGGCGTCTTTAAGTGTCCTGTACTGTAGCACCGATTTAACGAGATTTGACTGTACACAACAAAAATTTTCTGAAAAAACTTCTAGAATTAGGAGTTGAATCTCTTTTTGCTTAAGTTAAATCTCTTAAAATTTAACACTTTTCCCAAAAATAAAAACTATACTTTTTTTAAATAGTTTTAGATAATTTCTCTTTTCTTTCCGCTTTTCTTTTATTTTTGTAATTGAAATTAATATATTTGTAGCCAGATATTCTAACCATGGCGAAAAAAATGTTCGAGTCACGTGGCAACCAATAATAATGCATGATTTTTTTGATCTGCTAATAGCACAAACTGATACATAGGGTTCCGAAAAAAAGTCTGGTTCGGTTCGAGTCTGGTTCGGTTCGAGCTTGAACCGGACTCGAACCTGACAAAA